CTTTAAGGGACCCCCAATTGCTCCTAGCCTGATAATAAGACCAAATTCACAGTTCATTTTCGAGCATTTTATGCATAATTAAGTGCTATAATTTCTGTATGTGAACTTTAATGCAGCTCGTATACATTTTTCTCGCAGGAAGGAAGGTGATGTCCCCTTCCTCAATCGTGCCTACGTTGCTCTGATTGGCTGGGTAGTTTCTCCAACCAGGAAAACATCCGTCATACAGCACCACACCAGACCTATTTGAATTACTATGAGATGTGGGTGGTGATTCACAGGCTTAAGTGCTCTACAGCCAGAAAGGAGATTTAAACCTACCAGCTTGATAACCACGGATATGCCACGTAGTGTCCTCCCACCAAAGTCTGGTGCAGGAGGGCATCTCCTCAGGTGCTGTAACCATTGCATCAGATCTGGGACCCAGGGCATTGTTGTTGGGTGCTGGTAGATCTGTATCCGTCTGTGGGGATATGAAAGTAATACTGGCATAAAGATATCATGAGGGATTTTCATTATTATATTTTCCAGATATTAAATGTTCTCTGCTGGTCTTAAAGTCTACATTACAATGACATCAACTTATTTGAGTGCTCTAGCTGAGTGAAATGAAACCTGCTAGGCGTTCCTATATCCTTATGCTATATGCTAATGATTAACCAGCAGTTAAAAAGATTAGATAAGATATTCATTCGTTCAAAACGTCCTTGATCCATTCATAAAAGTGTTACAGTTGTGTAGTTTAATGAGTACTGTAATCAGTGATGGGTTATTTAAGGATTTCATTAAGTCACTTTTAGTAAGTTTGTCTTATTCTCATAAAGTCATAATACAGTTAAAGTGAGGAAGAACCAAGAAAGTACATGACAGCACAGTGCTGTTTGTTTTGTCTTCTAGATTATTATTACTGGCTATGTTTGCTCAAAATATCTTGTTGTACTTGCGATGTTCAGATAATACAGTCTAGACAGCTAATATAATCCAGACAGAGTAGTTTTCCACAATTGCAAGAGTTATTCTAATAAAGAAGAAGAGCAACATAACACTCCCTGTACAGTAATGAATTAAAGATTTATATTGGGCTAATGAATGACACGAGAATAATGATTTTTTTTTGGTGTTCTTCTCATCCTGCTTGCATTTCTGAGAATTGTTTATGGCTATAAGTTGGCTGAAGGTTGAATTAAGCCATCATGTTGTAATATTCTTAGAGCCCACACAAACACATTCTTTCCCATCACTGTGTCACAATCCTCAGTTGAGTCATTGTGTTGTTTCTGTGTTTGTGAGTGTTGGACCTGAGCAGTCTGTCTTAAATAGCTAATTCCCGGTTCTCCATAACAGAGATTTGAATGAGCAAATTATGACTGGTTAAAATAGAGCTACAGCTCGTCTCTGGCTAATTTCTTGTGAGAGATTGTGTTCACAAATTAAAATATCTTTGACAATCGGTGGCCAGTATCGAGTACGTATGCAGTCCTGTACTCAGTAGAGGTTGGCATTTCATCATTTTTTTGTTTGCCAGGTGTGCATCACTTAATGTAATTGTCAGATTTGTGTCAGAATAAAAGTTTCATGTTTCCAAAAATATAATTGTCTGAGGGTAAGCATCAGTCAATAATACTATGTGTTGCCAAGGATGGGCAAATATTTCATAGTACTATCTGCATCAAAAGACGTATAAGTGTATGTCCATCTCTTTTAAACAAGAGCAATTAGCAAGGGTGATTGGAAGTAAATGTTCAGAGAGACTAGGCTAACTTTTCATCATCCACCATAAATAAAACGTCCATGCTTTTTACCTGTTGGTCATCCTTTAGATCTCAATTTTTATGCCTTTATTTTACAAAATACTGGTGCCCTGCCCAGTGTTAATGTAACTCATGCTACTCTTCACTTGCTAAACTGCTGTATGGATATGATATCCATTTAAAAAAAATGACATCCAACTTATTTTTCTTTGTATTGAGCTACCAGACTGATTCTAAGTCGAGGCCTCTCTACCCTTTACAGACCAGGGATGAATGCAGGTCTAACTGCCTAACTAGAGGATTACAATGCAGTTATCTTATAGTTGGCATGGGTGTGGATGTGTTGTAGATGTGTGTTGGGTTCAAGTGTGTCAAGTGTCGAGCCAAGCACTGTTCAGCAAAAGAACCCATCGAAGTGTTAGTGGGGAAAGCACTTGTTTAGATTGGATGTTTGGATGGATGAACGGCTCGTCCACATCTGTCAACCAGTCCTACAGAAGCAAAGTCTCTCTGAGGATTGCACCACATGGAGGAGTTGTCGCCAGCAAATTATATTCCAGACTGAAGTTTTACTTGCTAATTAATGGAGTAAGATTGTTTACAAGATGGTGCTCTAAATATAAGAGATAGCACAGCACTGTTGTTGCAGACACTGAGGCGATTGATCAGACCAAGCAATGTGACTTGACCCCGACCTAAAACAGCAGGGAAAAATGTTTATCTTGACAAGAGATTGTGGGACCAAACAGACCACTGGGTTGAAATATGAGTTTAATCTATGTACCAAAAGAAAAAGTGCAGCCTGTTAATAAGATACACTATGCCAGTTTTGTTTGTGTAAGTCTTTCTGCCGTGTGGTTGACTGAACCTGCTTGTTCTCTTTAACTCAGTGAGCACAGCTGAGGCTCAACCGCAGCGAGCAGACAGGACTGTAGCACGGTAGCACATGTTGAGTTAAAAGTCATCAAATTTGTCTTTTGAAAAGCCAGATCTAGAAAGTAGTTGTTAAATTGGCAAACATATATTTTTGTTGTTTTAATGGAGTTTTTAAATTAAACCTCACATTTTCTACTGGGGCTTTAGTTGAACAGGGCTTTCAACCAGCGCCTTGCACTATGAGGGTCAGAACTTACTTAAAAGCGTTGTTATCTTTCAGGTTGTGCTCTGCAGCTTAACTGTGTGACTGAGCTGGGAGACAGAGAGGAAGATGCCTCCCAGGCCGTCCTCAGGGGAGCTATGGGGCATCCACTTGATGCCTCCCAGGTACGACCCTGGATTTTATTGTGGATACCAATGCATTTTGTATTTTTCAATGTATACACATACAATACTTTTATATATATGTTCCAAAATGTATTTATTAGTTATTATTGTTATTATATTATTTAGTATATATTTATATATCCTTTATTGAATTTTATAAATTCTAGTAAGTTAGTAAATAAGTTATCAACACTGTATAACGGTGCTGAGTTTGACGGCAGGATCCTGGTGGACTGCCTGCTTCCCAATGGGATGATTCTGACCCTGGAGTGTCTCCGTGAGGCCACGCTCATCACCATCAAACATGAGCTGTTCAAGGAAGCCAGGAAATATCCCCTCCATCATCTCCTACAGGAGGAGACGTCGTACATCTTTGTCAGTGTTACACAGGTAAGAACTCTCAATCTCTATTCTAATATCTGGCAGGCAGAGCTATCCATCCAAATGAGTAAACATAATGGAAGTCTATTATTGAAAGTTTGATAGAATGACCCCCTGACAGCTGTTTATAAAGGAGAACAGCTACTAAAAGGAATAGATCTTCGGACTTATCAGATTCTGTATTTTAAAAATAGTATAATATGTTGCTGCTCCCTGAAAATTATAGGGAAACGCTACCTCCACTTTGTGTGAATGGAAGGCTACATCTTCATTCATGCATCTCTACAAAACTGAACACATTTAACCTTCGAAAATACTACCTGTACTTGAAAAGGCACCATGCTTTGCATTTTTTTTAGCGCATCAGTTCTACACTTGCAGGAAGGCCATGAGCTCTTGCAGCTATTCACCTTTCATGAAAAAGAAAACATTGAACACAGCCTCTGTTTTTTCTTTCTTTTTCTTGCCCGCAGGAAGCAGAGCGGGAGGAGTTCTACGATGAGACCCGTAGGCTGTGTGACCTCCGCCTCTTCCAGCCTTTCCTCAAGGTCATTGAACCAGTTGGCAACAGAGAGGAAAAAATCCTCAACAGAGAGATTGGTGAGAGGTTCTCCTCCTCTGATAACGTTGGTTCTGTTGTAGCCTTGGTTTGTTTTTGGGTTATTACCTGTGTTAGTTAAAAAAAGTAAATCAATGTATATGTGTCAGAGTAGCAAAAAGTTGGTAAATCTTAAGAGAATAATTATTGTTTAATTTATTAGATACTTTATAGTTAATGTAAATAGTTTTAAGAAATACAAAAGACTGTAACTTACTAGCTTTCTTTAGTTCAGCTAAACCGCAAACTAAGTAGATTATTTGATGGTTTTATCCACAAGTTAAGTTGGGAATGAAAAGCCTACCTGAACTACGTTTGAGATCATTTTCTGCTTGATAAAGCATATTCACACTTTGTTTTGGATTATTGTCTTGTATGTTTTAGGAAACTATAGTCGATATAAGAGGAAAACATTATTTAACTACATCTCTAAGTGACCAATCTAGCCAAACTTGCCTTTAAAAGATTAAAAAACACTGTCCCTGCTTTCTATTCTGTCAGGTTTTGCCATTGGTATGCCTGTGTGTGAGTTTGACCTCGTGAAGGACCCCGAGGTTCAGGACTTCAGGAGAAACATCCTGAATGTTTGTAAAGACTCTGTGGAGCTGAGAGACGCCAGCGGGCCCCACAGTAGAGCGCTGTATGTTTACCCACCCAATGTAGAATCCACACAGGAACTTCCTAAACACATCTATAGCAAACTGGACAAAGGTAAGCAATTGCTTGAGTCTAATTTATTTCATTGTGGAATCCAACCAGTGTCACAGGAAAATAGAAAAATAAGAAAATTTGGTCGTCTGGTCAAGCCTCTGATTATTATTTTGAGAAAATAAAACACAAAAAAAGCCCTTGAAGACAACAGGAGGCCAACAGGGAGCAAGAAGATATTGATAAGATATTGGCCTCCAATCAATACTTAATCACTACTAGCCTGCCTTTACAAAATATAGGAACTACTAATGAGCACATTGATTAATGAATTGATTGAAATGCTATTAGTGTGATGCTATTTGTATTAAAATAACACTCAGAAAGGAAGCACAATACTCAATACAATACCCACAGACCTCAGAATAAAAAGGTAGGTATTGTTTCCCAATTGCTGCTCAAGTAAAATTGGATTTATTGATTCTTTTCTCTCAGACCTCCAATTTGTTGTCCCTTCTCTCTGTCTCCTTTACAGGTCAGATTATTGTTGTGATTTGGGTGATTGTTTCTCCGAACAATGACAAACAGAAGTATACATTGAAGATCAACCACGACTGTGTGCCGGAACAGGTGGGGTGAATATTCACTAAAATGAAGAGACAATGGATCAGTCACGAGCCCCGCTGTTTTAAATTCGGTGAGAGGAAATTGAAGGGTGTCTAACTCAGGATGTCTTCGTGTGTCTCGTCTTAAAGGTGATTGCAGAAGCCATTCGGAAGAAGACTCGCAGCATGCTGCTGTCCCCAGAGCAGCTCAAGATGTGTGTTCAGGAATATCAGGGTAAATACATCCTGAAAGTTTGTGGCTGCGATGAGTACCTACTGGAAAAGTACCCCATCAGCCAGTATAAGGTAAGAGACATACATGCAAAAATCTATTTAGGGCACCCCTAGTTCATGGAAAAAAGAAAACCTTAAAGTAGTAAATGCTTAGACCACAGACCCCCAATTTTGAGAGGATATTGTCTTAAGGAGTAATTTTTTTTTCATGATTATAACGTTTTCATAGTCAATCAGTGATCAAACTGGGATCACTATAAATCACAATCAATAAAGACAGTCAACCTTATTTCTTCCGTTGTTGTTCCAGCTTCCAAAAAATGGGATAAAAGTTAAACTTTTCTATTCCTCCTTTTGCTGGGGAAGCCCTACTACCTTCTCAATGACCCCTGCTGGTTCCCACATTTGTTTAAGAAAACACAAGTGTCAACATTGCTGGTATGAAAAGTTGAGTGTCTACTATGCATTTCTTCAACGTTGCTTAACGGATATGTCTTCGGCTAATCTGCCTTTAATAAATCTGTATAGGGAAATAGCTAAACGCCTGATCCATCTCAGAACTCTAATTTATTGTAACCACTGTGAAAACAACACTGCCTTTCATTAAAACACTGGAAGCATTTTGTCATGCACAGTGATGTGAGCCAATGCTCAGAGCGGAGAAATTCCATGTGAGCCAGATCAAGGTGGAAGATGCACAAAGTGTCACTGTTTGCTTATAAAGTCCTTCAGCAGCTGCTGGAAAATGACCAATTGGCATAATTAAACACACTTACGCACGGTGTAACTCTAGCAGCTTTGTGTACTTTCGTTCTAACTATCCTCCTCTGTGTCATTCCCTGTCTGTCTCTCCCTCTAGTATATCCGTAGTTGCATCATGCTGGGCAGGATGCCTAACCTGATGCTAATGGCTAAGGACAGCTTGTACACCCAGTTGCCTACAGATAACTTCGTCATGCCGTCATACTCTCGCCGCATCTCCACGGCAACGTCCTATATGAATGGCGAGGCTGCTGCCAAGTCGCTGTGGACCATCAACGGGACCCTGCGAATACGAATCCTCTGTGCCACCTATGTTAATGTCAATATACGGGACATAGACAAGGTGGGGACGCTCAGTGCTTACAGGAATATGCTAGTTTCTCTATTCTTACATTTCGTGGTAGGAAAGAGTAGAATTGGCCAAACTGAGAGGAATTATCTTTAAGTAATGAAAAAAAAATGTGAATGGTGTTTATTGTATTTTTATTTTTTATTTTTGCTGATTCATGAATAGAAATAAATACACTGAATGTAATTTAAGCTTTTTGTTTTTGAGCATTATTAGTTGACAGTTTTTCTAGTTGTGCACATCCTCCAATCTTCCAGCTCCCCCCACTTCCTGTGGAAACAAACACTCATTGTCCAGGTCTCATGTGAACAGAGATCTTTACCAAGGGAAGGTAGTTCTGGTAGTTCATGTTTGTGTGCTCAGTTGTCATGAATCATTTGTGTAAGTCATCACAAACCTGCCTGACTGCATGCAATTTAAGTGTAATGATAATTTAACATGACGGCTGTTACGCTATCAATGTGTACCTCTGAGATAAGATGTCCAACAGGCCAATCTCTTGTTATCTCATTGTTATAGTGAAGATATGGTTCATTCTTTTATTAATGTCTTCTTTCTTTTTTGCATTTTGCTTCTCCTGTATAATTATAGATATATGTGAGAACAGGGATTTACCATGGAGGTGAACAGATGTGTGACAATGTCAACACACAGAGAGTACCCTGCTCTAACCCCAGGTAACTGTCCACCAGTCATTACAACAACTTTACATTCACTACAGCTGTCTTTTAAGTATAATAATAACTTTATTATGTGAAGGGCTTGATATAGTTGTGTGCTTTAACAAAAAATGTGACAGTAATTATACTGTGAAAAATAAAACCATAAAAAAAGAATTATGGTAGCCAGTAATGGAAATGACTACTACTCTAATTCACTTTCTCTTTATTTCACTAAGCTAGTTCTTTAGACAATTTACTGCTAATTTACTTTAAGCAGTCTCAAGCAGGAGGGTAAAGTTAACAGTTTAGTGCTGGCTCGTAACACTAAACTGCTGTATTAGATTACTGTTAACCCTAAGCCTCGGTCCACTCGTAGACCTCTGGAGAGTTAAAAGGAATCCTACCTGTACTTTATAAGCCCGGTACAACAGCCTTCATTTTAAAGTAGTTTTGGCATTGAGGTATCTTTTGCTATGTGTCACTTTCTAAATTGTGTTGCTGAAAAACGTAGCCCAGGTGTAAGGTGTAAGGTGTCTGAGCATTCAGTTTTCTGTCATTGGTAGCACTTTGTGTGTAGAGGCACAGCTCTCTCTTGCTTTATACCAATATCAGAGGTTATTTCTGGTTCTTTTTGTTGGTCTCAGTCTCATAAATGATCTCTGTTTCTCTTTCATTCTTTATCTACAGGTGGAATGAGTGGCTCACGTATGATATGTACATCCCAGACATCCCCCGTGCTGCCAGACTCTGCCTCTCCATCTGCTCTGTCAAGGGCAGGAAGGGAGCCAAGGAGGTAAGACAGAAAGCAGTGAAGGAAATGACTACACAGTGCAACTTAAGTTGACAGGAAGTTGGACATGCAAAAACAGGAAGTGTTTAACTAGGCCATTTAGAGATCACTGTTACATTTCATAACAGCAAACGCAACAATATTACAATTGAAATAAATTGTATATGTCTGTGAACAGTGAACATTTAATTTTATGATGTAAAACACAAAATAATCTAGAACAAGGCAACAGCAAGCCAAATATGAGCTCATGTTGTCCAAAGGAAAGTAATACCTGATCATGCAAATGCCAATAGCAGTGTGCAATATTACAGATAGGCAGACAGTGCTACAGTTGTTACAGTCTAAAGATAGCAGAGAGCAGATGACCTTCATGTGTCTAAATCCTTTAACAGTGACATGTTAACTCATCCTGAAGGGACTTATATGGTATAGGTACTGTTTCTATGTGTGTGTGTGTGTTTCTGTGTCTGTTAGCATGTTCTTGTATTGGTACGTGAACCTACCCTACTCGATGTGTCAGTCTGTCTGAGTATATGTGTCCAAGGTGAATGGGAGCTGTGGTATCGTCTTTGGCTCTGTTTAATTACTAATCAGCCATGGGCACTGTGGTGGCAGAAAACATCAACAGAAACACAATCAGCACAAGGGACTTTTCCATTCATGTTAGACTAATATGTGTGTCTTCGGGCCATATTGATGTTGTGAAAGGGTCTAATTGTTTTATCTCAAACTCATGTCGAAGTATTTGAACTTAAGACTTTGACAACAGAAAAACTGAATACTTAGACAAAGCAAAATCCAAGTTACGGCTGCACAGTTAGCAAATTAATACAATGCATGTAAAACTTTAAAAGGATAAATCTTTTTGATATCAAAAAAGCATTTGTGTAGCACAATGTTAACATACTCTAGGTACTTACCTCAGATTTACAATAAAAGAATGACTGTATATTTTACTCTATGTTTAGAAACCATGAGGTGTAAAACTGAGAGAGTGTCAGTGTTTATGTGCTTTGTGTATGATACTTGTAACAGACACCCACACTGATTGATTTTTCTTCTCTTGTGGAAAAGCTGGAAGAGAGAGGTGTGTGTGTGTGTGTGTGTGTGTGTGTGAGTGTGGAGTGTATCAATGAATGCCAGACATGGATATTGTAACAGACACCTGGGGTGAGGCCTGTCCCATACTGTGCCATGCTAGGTTGAGGTCAGGTTAGCGGATGCTCTTTCATGCCCCACTTGAATTAAAGATAAACACTTCTCTACAGCAGCCTTTTGTGCCAGCACTTACTATAAATAGGTGCATTTTGACTGGCTGTCTGCATGTAACTCTGTCTGCCTCACCATTGCTGCCCTTTGTCACCTGGTTCCATCGCTGCCCCTTAGTAAAGACTCACCGTGAAGCTCAAGATGTTATCTTAAACATTTCCTTAGACTTAAACCTTCTGATTTTACTGTTCCTTGTGCCATTATCAATAATCTCCCGATCATCCGGTGCCAGTACTATAGTACTACTATAATAGATAATAGGCTGTGCTGCCATATACAGCACCAGAAGACAGCCAGCCACATTAAATAGCACTTAACCTTTCAGGATGATGAGTGTAGGCATGGCATTCCAGCTATTACTGTATCTGAGCTTCTTAAAAGCCTTTAAAATCAATCAAAATCAATTATACGTTAAGGTCTAATTTACCAACATCATAATGACCCAGTTGAACCTTTTAAGACCTATTAAGATCTGTTTGAAACTCGATCTAACTAATCTCTGTTAGAGCATTAGCATGCTGCAAACCAACACATTGAAGGGCATGTAACACCCACTAAAGAAGGTCTCCTGTATCTGCTTAACTCAAAACTTAACCAGTGGAATAAGGTAAACACTCAGCAGTCCCAACCAATAGAGAGTTTCATCAGAATGAGCAGGGTTTGATCACTTTTAATAAGTCCACTAAGTCTTTGGCAATGTTACATCTCAACGGGTTTAGAGACATGGAGTGATTTTGGCTGAGCTGTAAATGTGAACCTGTAGCTAAATTATCTTTTTGTTTTTATTATATGCACTGATTATTGGATGATAGAGCTGTATGATGTTGTATTGTATATAGATATAAACATTAGAGGTAGTGCTTTTAATGTGTTCCTCAGCATAATGAAACCTTAATGAGATTACATACCTCTAAACTGTGAGTCCCAGAATATGTTGGCGTTAGAATTATGCACCATCTGTGTTTGTGTTTGTGTTTGTGTTTGTTTTTTTCCCATGAGCTTTTCACATTGAGTCTAATTACATTCGTAATCAGTGCCTTTCTCGGTTTCTCTGCTCGACTCTGTCTCTGTTTAGGAGCACTGTCCACTAGCTTGGGGTAATATCAACTTGTTTGACTACACTCACACTCTGGTGGCTAACAAGATGGCTCTGAACCTCTGGCCTGTCCCTCATGGCCTGGAAGACCTCCTCAACGCCATAGGAGTCACTGGATCCAACCCTAATAAGGTATTCAGATAGCTCTGTACATGCTCCATTTCAAGAAAGTAACGGGTTTCCAAAAAACAGATATTAAGTATATACTTTTAACCTATGTTCCAGGAAACCCCATGTCTGGAGCTGGAGTTTGACCACTTTAGTAGTCCAGTCAAGTACCCAGATATGAATGCAATAGAGGATCATGCCAACTGGACCATCTCGAGGGAACTGGGGTTTAATTTCAACCTCTCTGGACAGGTGATAATCTGCTTACCAGCCAGTTACAGTTTTTAAAAATGTATTTACTTGTGTTGACCCACACACCTTGCCTTGCATTATATGCACTCCAGAAGTATAATTACACATGATGTCTTACATAACACACATATCACATTATTTACTACCATCACAAATAATTTAGCAGATTGTGTCATTACGTGTAATGCATTCAACAAGGATACAGCAATCTCTATCAAAATATCTCACTCCACTAAGGAGTCTAATGAAAGGTGAATTTCTATCCCTTCTTCTCTTAAGTGGCTCTATATGTTTTAAAAGTGCTCTTAAACTACTGCAACTTCACATTTGTTTACTTTCTGTTTGAGTTTCAAAAGGTTAGCTTGGGTGAAAGCACAGGGTTTGGTGTTGTTTAATCTTTTGTGTATATATTATATGTGATTGTTCATAGGACACAGCAGTGCCAGTTGGTTGGTTAAATGTGCTGTTAGGTTTCAATGAATGTTTTTTTAAGATATTTTATTTATTGAAAAGGATGATATGATTAAATTTAGAAAATGTGATAAATGTGGTTAATTTTCACCCCAACAATTAGCTATAAACATCCATTGTTTATTTATATCTTGTTAACTGAGTTGCTCCCAGTACTTTTCATGGAATTCAGCAGTGCCACTGTCAGCTATTGTGTTCAGTTATTCATGATGGCATTGGTGTTGGTGTCTTATCAGATTTCTGGATGATGTGTGGTAAGAGAACCATGACTTCTGACAATGTGACTTGTGGTTGGAGTTACTCCGCCATGTGAGAGGATGTGAACAGTGTGAGGCGATGTGTTAAGTTATTAACGATGTGTGTGCTATATGTGAGGAGTGCTGTTCGTGGTGTGATGATTATTTCATCCTGACCAGAAAAAAAAGTTTGATCTTATCTCATATTCACACAGTCGGACATTGACAGCCTTGATTTGGTTAAGGAGGAAGAACTTTCCTACAGATGTTGTGCTCTTTTTGCTCTTGTAAAAAAAACAGGGTTGAAGCTCAAATTCAGGATTTGAGGGCATTTTCAGGCATTGTGTGTCATTGTTTTATAAGCATACACATTTGCAGCTCATTTAGATGTGTTATATGACAACCTTTTGTTGCTTCCACAGCATCTCTGTCATTTTAAATGTCACTATAGCCGATCTCACAGCACAGCCTCTGTCATCAACCTGTATTTATGTTTATTTTGTCTGGCGATATTGTGATCGTAAAATAATGACCTTATCTGCAGCTCAGCAGCTCGGTAATGACTGCTGGTTAATATAGTATTCATGAGCCATGGTCAGATTTCGTACTCATTCCGTTGTTTGACGACAGAAAGAGAAAAAATATTTAAATGAAAACAATTCGATCGTGAATTTGGCTGCTTTAAAACACAGTGACGGTGATCACAGAGCGCAGGAGGGAACAGAATGTAAGTTTAACAGGCCGTCTCACTTACTGTAAACAGGAAATACTAGTTGTCAACAAAGGAAATGCATCGTTAAAAATTAATTTCCAGTCAACAGCCAGTAAATAGAGGCATTTGCATACATTTCCAACTAAATGTCACGCTTCAGAGACGCCAGCTACTGACCCGGATGATGCTTTTAACACAGCGTGAACACAGCATCTCATTTTGCCGACTATTAACATGATTTCACACTCCAGGGTGTCCTCAAAAATGACTTTGTGAAGGAAACACTTCGCTTATACAATGTGAGAGTTAATTGGTAATGCAGCATGAAGTGGGAGTACTGCTGCTGTGGTTATCTAAGTTCATTATAACTTCTGCACTGATTTAGAATTGCTGTTACACTCTTGACCAGAACTACGGTGGACTAAATTAAAATTATAGTACAGTGTGAGGATTTTCAGCGAATAGATTTATTTTTAATGAGGCATGTTGTTGCATCAGATACTCTGCGATGCAAGAGAACTGGACCATTCAGTGTTGATTTATTAATGAGGATAGTGTAATGTGGTGTATTAAGTAAATCCTTTATCTGTAACTTGAGTTGTTTGAGAAGCTTACAGCCTAACAGTAATGGGTCTTAATGGATTACAAATGTTCCAGGCTATATTTGTTGCTTGTAATGTTTGCATGGTTGAATGCAGGCAAGGCAAATATTTGTTAGATTGCTGGTATAAAGATACAAACAAATGTATTGTACTTAGTTACGATAAAAGAGGTTAATGATAAAACACTTGTGTTTACCTTGTTACACTGTGTGTCAATACAGAGTAAATGTGTGGAGAGATCAGGGTCTCGTACAGTAACTTGACGGCCCATTAATTATGGTGTTAGTAGTGTAATAATGCAGCGTTTAAAGTATTTTATTTCTGTTGTGTTTCAGAGCAAACGTGTGGCCAGAGATCACGCCCTGACAGAAAGCGACACCGAGCAGCTGAGACAGCTCAGTAACAGAGACCCTCTTTCAGAAATCACTGAGCAGGAGAAAGACTTCCTCTGGAGACACAGGTAACCTCCCAACCAGAAAATATAAAACAATACTACTTCATCATATAGCAATAAAAGTACTGCTGGCGTAGATTTCACATGTCAGACTCGTATGTAAATGTTATTTGCATAGCAACCGGATTCAATAAAAGCTTATTCTTTTAGGTTCATGGCTGAAACTTTTTATACATTTTGTTTAAAAACATAAACAAATTCTGCGTGCTGAATATGTGTGGTAACACAATTTTGTTTTAACCTTGTATGCAGGATGTAAACCCTTTCTTTTTCTCAACAGGCACTACTGCATGAACATCCCTGAGATCCTTCCCAAGATCCTTCTCGCTGTCAAATGGAACTCCAGAGATGAAGTAGCACAGGTAATGAAAGGCCATTTCATACCTGCTTGTCATATTAACACTCTTATATATTTGATCTGTGTCCGATAAACAAGAAGGAGGAGTTAAAGAAAGATTTACACAGCTCATCTGTTCCACAAAGTACTTTTAATTGGATTTGGAAAAATGGAAATAGAAAAATCCAATTCAATAGTTTGAACGTATACTTCCATAAAAATATTTACCCTAAAGCACATACACAGAGTTTTGAAGTTACTTTGCTACCTACCTATAGCTGGTGAAATCACAAACTTGCAGCGGGACTGCACAGAATATAGTTTCATTTTTAATGTTTCTTGTATTTTCTTGATAAAGTGTGGCTGCTCAATTGTAATTCTGTAACATAATGTATATATACTGTATATGTTGAGGGTTTTATAACGAGTATTAAGTCATATTTCTTGGTTTGTGCGTTTTCTAGATGTACTGTCTGTTGAAGGAATGGCCGTCTATCCGTCCTGAGCAGGCCATGGAGCTGTTGGACTGTAATTATCCAGACCCCATGGTCCGGCACTTTGCTGTACGCTGCCTTGACAAATACCTGACTGATGACAAACTTTCCCAGTACCTCATTCAGCTCGTACAGGTTAGTCTTAACAGAGAGTCGTGCCTCTTAAATTCAAGGAACTGATTGACGAAAGAATGCGGTAGAAAGGAAGACACTGTGGAGCAAAGAGTGCTATGACTCAAGTGGACTACGGAGTACTTTTCTCTCAGCCTCTCTGTGTCCTTGGCTGCCAGTCTCAAGTATTGGTTAGAAAGCAGCTTTTGTTTGGCCTGTTCTTGTGTGTTAAGTCTTTCCGGTTTGTGATGCCTTAGGTTGTATTTGGTACTTGTTGTACAGAGAGAGGAAAAACAGTAAAGTCAAAAAAAAATAATAACTACTAATCTGAACCTTCTCTCTGCATCTCCACTTGTTCTTTTCTTCCAATCTTCTCTTTCTCTCGCTCCTCTTGTTCTAGGTATTAAAATATGAGCAGTATCTTGACAATCCTCTGGCCCGTTTTCTCCTTAAAAAGGCCCTGACCAATCAAAGGATAGGACATTTCTTCTTCTGGCATCTCAAGTGAGTCACCATCCAGACTGCTTTTTCTTCATGTTTATGTACCTTCCTTTCTCTGGGTCGTTCTAGAGAGCTAAAAACACATCTTGCCTCCCGGCTTCTCACGCTCTGACTCCCCCTTTTCTCTTTGTGGCTTCCTCACAGGTCAGAAATGCACAATAAAACAGTGAGCCAGAGGTTTGGGCTGCTGTTAGAGGCTTACTGCAGGGCTTGTGGCATGTACCTCAAACACCTGAGCAGGCAGGTAGAAGCCATGGAGAAGCTCATTAACCTCACTGACATCCTTAAACAGGAGAAGAAGGATGAGACGCAGAAGGTAAGGAGGGCGACAGCACACATAAACACAGTTATACATATACACACAGGACACAGATATTTATGTTCAAGTTTTTAAGACTAAAAATCTCAAAACTGGTATAAAGTGTGTGGGGATGCTGGCATTTATTTTAATCATACAAACAAGAGCCTTAAAGGTCCAGTGTGTAGGATTAAGTGGCATCTAGGGGTGTGATTAAAGTCCGGTTCAATATGACAGCCCCCCCCGTAGATAAAAATTGTTCATTCTAAGGTAACAAAAACACAACAATTCTTATTTTCAGATGATTGTACACTAACGAAAACATGCCTTTGAATATTACATTACATTTCTGCCAAACAGATTCCTCCTAAATGTTACACACTGGACCTTTAATGTTTCTACAGCATCACCATTCACAGTTTGTAATATCACATTCTGAGCAGAACAGGATTTTATTTATTTATATTTATATATAACTCTTAATGTGTAACATTACTATTGTGTTGTTAATCAGTCGATGTGGTTCCTTTATCAGTGGATTGTCCAGTTAATTGACCCTGTCCACCACCCATAGCCCTTTTTTAAATATTAAAATATCCTATTAAACAACCAGATTTTACGTTGGATCTGTGTTGCTCAGTCTTAAAATTAGATTAAATCTTAAAATGCCTGACTACTACTTCATTATTATTTATTAAACCATTTATGTGTTTGTTTATTTTATAATTAACCCTTAGTGTCGTAACACGACGTAACTGCATCCCTTTTTAGAAGATTCTCTTTGTGGATGTTTGTGTATGTGGGTGCGTGCACACATATTTATGTGTGTGTTGTGTTTGTGTGTGTGTCTTGTGGAGGTCCAGATGCGGTTCCTTGTGGACCAGATGAAGAGACCGGACTACATGGATGCTCTGCAGAACTTCACCTCCCCTCTCAACCCTGCACACCAACTGGGAAATCTGAGGTCTGTAGCAATAGTGTGTGCGTGCACGTGTGCGTTCATGCGTGTAAATAAGTGGGGTTGGGGAAAAAAAGACATTGTTTAAAAGACTTGAATTAATTTGTTCACAGGCTAGATGAATGCAGGATCATGTCATCGGCTAAGAGACCGTTGTGGCTCAACTGGGAGAATCCTGACATCATGTCCGAGCTGCTCTTTCAGAACAATGAGATCATCTTCAAAAACGGAGATGGTAACACACACACACACACACACACACACACACACACACACACACACACACACACACACACACACACACACACACACACACACTCTCATTGTTTTTCTATGTCGGCTCTTGAGGATATGGGAAACTGTTCCAAAACATTTCTGTCCTCTCCACACACGTGCTCGAAATCAGCCTGTAATAACAAATCTAAAACAATATTTATTTAAATTGATGTCGTAGCATTTAAGTGTGTCATGCCAAATAAATAATGATACTTGTCTTTAATGATAAATACTAGGAATTTGAAGGATGGGAAAACTGTTTCTGTTTCTCACTGGCGTTAACTTTGATGTATTGATTTTTTTTCTCCTACTCCTACCTTCATGTGTCATTGAGATAAACTCTGAAAGCTTTAGCTCTGTTTTGATTTGTGTTATGAATAGATGCAGCAGATTTCCCAGTCTCAATCCTAAATGTTGACACAAACTATTAAGTGCTGTTTAAAGGCTGCAGAGCTTCTTGTTAATCATACTAACTCACCCTCGTGTTGTGTATGTGTATAGTCTGTCAGTATCACAATGCCTTCATTGTGTGTGTTTTTGTGTTGTAGACCTGCGGCAGGATATGCTGACGTTGCAGATTATTAAAATCATGGAGAATATTTGGCAGAATCAGGGACTGGACCTACGGTACTCCTCTCCTGTATCTGAATCTCTCTCTCTTTCTCTTCAGTCCTTTTTCTCTAACTCCTTCCTTCCTCTGTGCATGGGGCTAAGCCATCTGTTTTGTTTGTCTCCAGGATGCTTCCCTATGGCTGTCTGTCATTAGGAGACTGTGTGGGTCTCATTGAAGTGGTTCGCAGCTCCCACACCATCATGCAGATTCAGTGTAAAGGAGGCTTGAAAGGAGCCCTGCAGTTCAACTCAAACACTCTGCATCAGTGGCTCAAGGACAAGAACAAGGGCGAGATGTGAGTTCTTCTCTCCTGGTGTTATTTTTACAGCTTTTTTGCATCATCAGACCGTACAGAACAATGTCCATTAGAGTATCTCTAGTAAAAGAAATGTCTTCGGGAAATCTGGTGTTGTTTAGAGTTACGGCTCATTTACTTCTGCCTGCCTTTAGTTTCATTTACTTGCTTTGTTTAATTCGAATTTAAACACATTCTCATTTCTAGTGTCTTCTCAAAATGAAAAACTAATGGTGTCACTCCTTACTGGCGTGTGTTTGTGTGTGTTTGTGCAGGTATGACATGGCTGTGGATCTGTTTACAAGGTCCTGTGCTGGCTACTGTGTAGCTACATTTATCCTCGGGATAGGAGACAGGCACAACAGCAACATTATGGTCAAAGATGATGGACAGGTAACTTCTATAATGCACATACACTGCACAGTGTTGGTCAAGCATGGACAGGTTACAATATGCACATATACTTATACACAATTTGAGAGATTAACTCTCTTTGAAGATCTGATAACGATGTTTGTATCTGTAATAACCAAATTATTCATATAAAATGAAATCGCACCCACGCGTGCAAGGCAACTGGAACTACATTTTAATGCTCCTTCCCATATAAATGTTGCTCATTTACCTCCATAATCTTGTTCTTGTTATTCATGAAATTTTAACTTTTCACTTGTTCCAAAAAGTATTCATAATTTTCTTGCTGTCCTTGTGTCTTTCTCTGTTGCTGTTGTAGAAATTGATTTTGTTAGTACATTAGGCTGGTAGTCATTTGTTATTGACAGGTATGTATTTGATAAAATGGATAACTTTAAGTGAATGCTAAGCAGACTGACTGGCTGTATCTGTAAAATAACTTTATATTGGTGCCTTGTGTTTTCCTGTTGGTATTTACTATAAAGGTTTGTCTTTAGAGGATGTTTATTTGTTAGAGTTACTAAACTTTGACTTCCTGCTCTCCTCTTCCAGCTGTTTCATATAGATTTTGGCCATTTCCTGGATCATAAGAAGAAGAAATTTGGCTACAAAAGAGAGCGAGTGCCCTTTGTACTGACGCAAGACTTCCTCATCGTCATCAGCAAGGGATCCCAGGAGTGTGCGAAGACCAAAGAGTTCGAGAGGTACAGCAGCATCTTACCTCTTCTTTTCTCTCATCATTGTTTCTTATCTTCTTTTTTATCTGCTACCTGCAACTAGTATCAGTCAGTCTGTTCGTTTGTTGGCCAGACGACACCCAAAACTTCTTGGCTCTTCTTCTCCGATCATGAAATTCTGCCACAACCAGAGCTTTCTTACAGGCGTATTTTTCTTTAACTTGGTTAAACTGTGGAGCCCACACAATTGCTTTTATTTTGGAAATACATTGGCACGACGTTGAATTCATTTCGTCCATTTTTTTTAATCTTCAAGCAACACTGTGCCTTTTTCTTGCCTCACTTCCCTCAGTTGGGTAAGTGTCCACTCAATTTACCCAACCGACTGACGCACGAGACACTCTTTTAGAACTCTGTGATGATCATTTTACGTCACATAGCAATTGGCATCCTTCCTGTCTGGTTGGCAAGTTTCACCAAGTTTGCAACATGAAGGCTGCGATTTGCAACATGAGATCATTTCCTCTTGCTTAAATTTAGATAAATAAACTCTATACTTGTGACCCATGCATGAGGCCTGTAGGACCAGGCAGTTTGTGAACAACGAGCATTTGTAAATCGGCTTGCTGTCACCATTTGCGAGAACTACGAGCTTCATTTATAATTTCTTTTTTCTCTTGTTAATGTTTCTGTGACTTCCCTCCACTGCAGCCACTAAACAAACTGCATACAATTTGACTTTTTGTTTCTCTTTCTCCCTTTTCCGTCTGCCTCCAGGTTCCAGGAGATGTGTTATAAAGCCTACCTGGCCATCCGGCAGCATGCTAACCTCTTCATCAACCTGTTCTCCATGATGCTGGGCTCTGGCATGCCTGAGCTGCAGTCATTTGATGACATTGCCTACATTAGGAAGACGCTGGCCCTGGAGAAAAGCGAACAGGTAATAAGGCTTTTCTCACTGCTCATTTTCATTCTGTTCTGATCTTATTTTAGGGTCTTTAAATAGTCTCAAGTCTCACTTTTGGCTTTCTTAATCTTTTATTTTTTTCTGCTCTGTGCAGGAGGCTTTGGACTACTTCATGAAACAGATGAACGACGCTCACCATGGAGGATGGACCACCAAGATGGACTGGATATTCCACACGATTAGACAGCATGCACTAAACTGATCTATCACCAGTCCCATCGTGGAGTGTTCGCCTCCGTCAGCCAGCTGTTCAAGCTCGAATCACGCATCAGTCTTTCAAGGAATTTCAGTTCTTCATTACAGCTGACACCACGAACAACTCACTGATGATGGAAGTTTGATTTATCTTTTAAACACCAGCATCATTTCTGTTTATTTAAACGAGGTTCTTCTTCTGCATTATCTTGCCATTATCATCTTCCTTTTATGTGTGGTCCCGATGAAGTCGTCACACTTAACCCCTCTGCTTGTTCTGCGTCTACACAACAGTCCTCACGGCCTGGTGAAGATGTGCCCTACCTGGCGATGCTTGTGTCCTTGGCTACTGTACGTCCGCTGGGTAACCAAGGAAATTTCACTCCTTACCCAGCTGCTCTTGCAGGAAAAAACACAAAAGTGGACAAATCAACATAAAGAATATGTACCTGACAGTCTATAAATGTAGCCACAAAGTAAGTTCAACTTGCTGCCCTTCTGCTGTATTAGTGCTGCACTGTGGCTCCATCCCAGAAAGGAGGTGCTTGGGAAACTCCTTCTTATTTTTTTTTATCTCATTGCTGAGGAGATAGCGGGCACAAGGAACTGTCTAAATTATCTTACATAATATAAGTGTTACTCAGATTTGTTTGCGTACAGTGCAGGATTACTGGAGTGTGTGGGCTTCTATGATGACTACCACTGCACAGTCTTGTCCTTCTCAGCTGATTTGGTGTCAGCTTTCAACTGTTTCTGAGGAAATTTCAAAGCTCAAAAAACTGCAGAAAAGTCTCTGGGTTGTTTTGCACAGCTCTACAGTCTCTCTCACGGCCTCAATGAAAAAGCACTCCGCCATTTGGGAACATTTGTTGGTGGTGCTGCTCTAGACTCTTGCATAAACTTCAGGGTGATGATGCCTCTCCATCTAAAAAAAAAAAAAAAAACAGCACTTAGAAATACCAGAATAATATACAGATTTATTATGACTTTTTAAATTTATTTATGTATCTAGTTTCTTTCAGTTTCTACACAGGCAAAACCCTAACTCGACTCTCCAGAAACACGCCACATTCTCTGTGTAAATATATTTGATTTTTTTTGTATTTGTGTTTGCTTCCTTCCTCTGACCACGAGTGCAACAGCTTTCCCCTTATTTTGTCACGTTTTGCTCTTATTCATGAAGGAAGACTGCTGATTACTTTTTTATTTTTTTCCTCGCCTCTGTCACTTTTAAGTTAAACATCTCATTTGACTTTATCGGCAGTTATTGTGGCCCTATGTGGAATTTTAAAGACTAATTTGTTTGGGAATGCAAAATGGCAAGGGTCAAAGTGCCAGTCTCACATTTTATGAATAATGGGACCTATTTTAAGCCTCTGGCTCACTGTTTTGACGGTGAGCAGAGGCCCAGGGGAATGTCACGTCTTCCTGTTGATAAAATGCCTTGGCGTCACAGCACAACACTCCACAACACTGTTAAGCCTCTGCCTAACAAAAAAAGTTGGATTAAGCAAACAATCAGCACTATTAACATGAAAAGCATGTTAGCTTTGACCTTCTTTGTGTATTTTTTGTATTTTTAACCATGTTAGGTTGGTGGTATTTAGCATGTGCCCCATTAGAATGTCTTGGATAGATAGATTCATGGACAAAGTGCATTTTAACTTGTGTTTATCGCACATTTGGTGGATATTGGTATTGTTTTACTGAGCCCATAACCCTGGCAGCATTTGAGCTATGCTTTATGTTGCCAGGCACCATTAAAGCCATGCTCTACACCTTTTTAAAAAGTCACAGAGGAATGACAGTTACAGTGTTTTTAGTGAATCAAGTGAAACAGCGCACGTGGGTGGGATTTAGTAACGGGGATGATTTTAACAGATTGCTCAGAAGTGGGCAGGGCTTTGCAGATACAGAGTGATTATTTTCTCCACCCTCTCCTGCTTTGTTTGGTCCTAAGGATTAGACCTCAGCTACATTCTTTGGACAAACACCTCTGCTAGCTACAATGAGCCACGAGCTACCAGCCATGTGCTGTTTTTTTATGAAGGGCGGGGATATCTAATCATCTCAATCAGTTTCATTTTTATTAATCAGTTCTTCCAGGATTTTGCTGATATTGCAATCTAAAATGCCTGATTTCATGGCAGCTTTTCTTAAATAAAATTGCGAGGCATGTTGTATTTTTTGCCATGAAATTGAGTGAGAAAGTAAAAAATTGCTTTACTTATAATTAATTTAAAATGTAAGGCAACTTGTTATGACTAGTTGTTTGATGATGAATGGCTCTGTGTGTAGAGGAATGACAAAATTGCAGTTGTTGAGATGGTGACATCCTGGAGGGACTGATTAATTTGTGTATGCGCCTCCGAGTTGAAGACGATTCATCGAAGTTATTGGAATGTTTTAGAGAAAAGAAGAAAGAGAAAATATTTTGATATGTAATACTATAATATGTTTGTCTCACTGTGTCTTTAAAAGACACCAAAGCTGGCTGGTCTCCGGAGATATTGAGTCATTTTGGAATTTTCTCTAAAGTTATTGTTAAAACAGGTATTTTTAATGATGAACACAGACGGCTTCGTCAGTTGAATTGAGAAATTCTTGCACTGTGTGCTTTGTTGAGGACAGAATGTAGTACTTCACGAGCCCTCACAATGTAGCTTGAAAGACATTTGGATGTGTGCATAGCTAAATTATTATCTTTATAACCCTTCAGTATAAAGCTCAATCTGCCAGCGGAAGAAGAATAAAATCTGCACTTTGCCAGTTCAACTGTTGATTGTATAGAAAAGCCAAAGTTGTGGTCTGTTCTGATGTGGCGCACGTGTGTGAGCTCCTATTATTGGAGCATTAATGGCTGGAATGTATTTAATTGCTAACTGACCTTACGTGCACTCATTTTTTTTTATGGTTTTGCATCTTCATGTTTCCTTTCTCATGTTGGGATGCAGTGCCACTAAACACACAGTAGGTTATCAGCAGAGAGCTCTCCTGTCCTTCACTGTTGCTTCTTTTCCTTAATGTGCCAAATCAGGCATCGCCAATGCCTGTGAAAGCTAATGCTGGTGCAAGTGCATCATGCAGTCAGGCATATCAGTTACAAACTTTGAAAAGTTTGGGGGTATGCACTTCAAAATTCTAGTTCTCAATGCCTTTTTGTCCAAAAGGACTCTGTAAGAAGAAAGTTAGCCTAGTATGCATGTTTCTCAAGCAGTGTAACCAGTATGTATGTATGATGTACATTTTGAAGCAGCAGTATGTACGTACAGTATGTACAGTTCCAGTCAAACCTCTTTTTCTATGGGAGGCTTCATGTGTGACAAACCTGTAGTGTTGTTATCTTTAATATCTTTTCCCATGTGTTCTCCAGATTGATATGTGTGCGAGTGTCTGTGCCCATATGCATTAATTGTCCTTCTGTACAGGTTGCAGAGCTTCATTGGCAGGCTCCAATGAAAACCCACATTATGTCTGTCTGTATGTATGTGTGTACACGTACACGTGTCTGTGTGTGATGACACTTAACTGTTAAAGTGATGGTGTCTCTAAATGTTTTGTAAGCCTTTTTTTCCCCACTGGCTGGTCTGTGCCAGAGAAGGAAAAACAAAAAAACAATCAAAAAAATGTTTTTGCATTGTTTGTAAGGAAACAAACGAGAGGAAATGGAGAAACTTTTTTCATACATAAGTTGTAAATGTTTTACTTGAAATGTCATGAATCAGTACCACGGCTGTATTTTGTTGGTTTCAAGCTGAGATGGGGTGGTGCTGTGTCTCTTTAGTACTGATTATGAGAGAGTGTGTGTGTGTGTGTGTGTGTGTGTGTGTGTGTGTTTTTTTTTTTTTTTTGTGGGTGGTTGTGTGTGGGTGTGTGTGTGTGTGTATTTAACTGTACGTAAGCACCGGAGGTTGAAGCATAGTGTACAGGCTGTTTGATACTAGTAGTGAATGTTATTGATGCCACAGTCCTGAATTTCAGAGCGAAGACTCGACTACTTCTTGAACTAATGAAGTTGTGCTCAACTTCACATTTCTAAGATCAGGTTGCACCGACAACTATGACGAAGTATCTTACAGGATTTAATACGTTTTAATAATCTGAAATTCTCAGCCTCAAAATCATAACTACGTCCAGCACTTAAGTGATGGGTCTCACGTGTTCTCAGCGTGTTGGCACTGAATCGGTGCAGGAATTCTGCAATAATTGTTGCACTAGCGTTTCCTCCCTTACGTGAAAGGCTTTGATGCATGCTTTATCCCTTCTGGCTGTCTAAAAGCTCAACAATAAAAAAAACACAGGCCCATATTTACAGATATGCTTATCACAGGATTGGGGTAAACTGTCTATTTTTTGTTGCTAAGCCAGCCTGTCTGACTGCATGGATCAACAAAATGCAGGAGGGTTTCAGTACATAATCATTATACCTGCTATTCTACAAAGGTGAAGTTGAAAATGATCTCATTTAGGCCCCCTAAGTGTGCAAGGAAATACTGATAGATTTTCTGTGAAGTTTGACAGACTGTTCTCATCCACGCACTCTTCAGTTTGCCCGTGCGAATGCAATCATACCATTATGATGATTCCAAGACAAACAGTGGACAAATAATGCAATTCAATGCAACATCAGTGCAGTAAATTAGTACTTTTGTGAACCTTTTTAAGCGTCTGTTTTTAAAGAGTGTCGGACAACTCTCTACCCTCAAGCTGTTTCTGTTACTGTCCCCGTTTGTTCACCTGGCGGACAAGTGTAGGCGCCTGTGTGAATGTGGTTTCCTGATATCAACGAATCCGGTCGCAGATCTTCATCTGTGTTCCTTTCTGTGAATCAGTTCAAACCATTGTGAAACCCCACACTCAGACTGTCCTTGTTTTAACACAAATTGTGTTTCTAAAAAGCCTTTGAACCAAATGAATGTCGAGTTTTCAAATCAGAATTGGATCAAGGAGCAAATATGATGAAATATTTTGATTTATTTGATTATTTCTGAGGCTTCTGAAATGTCCCAAACTCACTTTATAGAGAAGTATAGACTAAATGGTCTGTGGTTTCCTGTTCTTTTCTGTATGCAGTGCTCTAAACTACATTTTAGCGTGTCACTAACATATTTCCACAACATACCATGCTGTCAGCACTATACTATGAATGAATGTACAACGGGCCAATGTATTGTTTTTCACAGCCTACCTGCATGAGATTGGGTAAAGAAATATTCTTCCTACATGTTTTTTTTTTGTTGTTGTTGTTGTTGTTTGTGTTTTTTATTTAGTCTGCTAAGCAGCCATACAGATGTTTTTAAATGAATGCCTTAAGTTTGCTCCCTGTAGGAACAGTTTCTATGAGTTCACCCTCACAATAACCTACGTTTTTATTATTTATAAATGTATATCGTGTTTTGTTTTCTGGCTCCCTGGTCACAGAGTAAAGGTTTCTGACTGACTGGTCATCTGAGTGTTCTGTGAAGATGTACAAATAAATTTGTTAAACATTCACCCGGCCGTGTTTGCTCTTGCACTGTCCCTTATTGCAGTTTGACTGTACAGCATAGCTCTTTACAAAATCTTGATTTAATGAGCAATATAATGTGTAATTTACCATTATAGCATTTTGGAACGTTTAAATTCTTTATTTTGTTTTATTTTCTGTTCTTTCCTTCCTGAAAAGGGAATTTTTTTTCCTGGAGAAGACCATCATGTACTAATGTCACAGGAAAACAGCATAGCATTTTTTTATTATTATTTCACACATTTGTTCCATTTGTTTCAGCCCAACTGGGTCAATGAATCTGATTGTTTATTCCTTTAAAAAAAAAACACATCAGCAAGACTGGAAAGATCATTTGGGTCAATGAAAGTGACGTTGTTAAGTGAAGTCATGGGACACCATGTCAGGAGGAAACACAGTGTGATCTTCTGATGAAACAGAGCTGAATATTGTTTGTCCATGTGGAAGTAGGTGATTACGGGAACTGTTCACACAAAGGGACACATTGAAAAGAATTATTAATGAGCTGCATTTATAGTCACATAAAACCAGCACACGGAACAAAGCTTTATTTTATTTTCTTGCAGATTTTTCCCTTTGAGAATTTTTTTCTCACATTAATGGACACTGAGGCCACTCATTACTTTGATTTACTCAAAGCAAACTGACCAGCAATTAATGTGGTACCAGTATAGAGCTCTGTCATCGTTGCAGTCCTTCTCTTAAGTGCTTTCTGAGTAGATACAGGGTAAAAAAAAAACGGGTTGCTCTCTCTTTTTTTCCCCCAATGTGGTTATTTAATTAACTTAACCATTTTGCTTTTATATAGTTTTAAATCTGCATAACAACTCCCAAATATGTTCCTTCACATATATAATGGAGGACTAGTCTACAAAACAAAAACAAATCTTTGGGAGAGGGTGACAAGTGAGATTATTTTTATTATAAATGTGGTTCCCTTAAGGAAAGGTTTATCCCAGCAGGTCTACATCACTGAAGGCCCCGTCCGCTGAAGGCTGTGGGGAGGCTGCCTCTACGGTGGCCATCGTAGGAGCGTCAGGCGTGTCAAGATGGTTTGGATTGAAAGGTTTCCAGGGCTTGGACGGGCAGTGGAAGGGGCTGTCGTTCACAGCGTCTGAGGCCACATCAGGGGAGGCGGACGCTTTAGTGGTGGTGGAGTCCTCCTCAGAAGATTCTTCTTTGGCTGCCGCTTTGGTTGGGGTTGATTTGGTGGTGGAGGCAACGTCATACAGAAGATTCCTGAGTGGAGACCAGCCAGGAGGACGGCGCCTGGTGAACATCTGTAGAAAAGAATACAGATTGTTTGATTTTTTATTTTAGAGTGAAGTCTTGTGTAGCCTTCCTTGTAGGATTACAACAAAAAATATGTTATCAGGACATCTGATTGGTCCTTTTTTCCTCAATTTCTATGCAAAATTGTTCCAACATAATCCTTTTGTAACATTCTGTAACACCTTCCTTGTAAATAATTTCAATTTCCAAACCTCAAAGCGCTATCTATTCATCTATTGTATCCTTTTTTATACTTTATTTCATTGTGTAGTACTACTCCGATCTGACCTTTCAACATGTTGGCTTTTGTTTGGAACATAAGTTAATGTCTGCATTTAACTTTCAACATAATATAGCAATCCAACATTTTAGCAAAATAAAGTCCTTCAAATTTACTCTCAGCTATTGATTCTTCACTCCAAGCTGAACTATTACAGAAAATGGAGTAAAACCTTTCTTTTTGTCAGAATTCATAAGGGTTGCAGTGGCATTAAAGTCAGAGAAAGAGGCCCATGATGGGAAAGTTAGCGACTGGCTAGGCGAGGTCAACTGAAGACCCAGATATTAAAGGAGACTTATGCTCGATTCCAGCTCTATATTCTTAATCTGAGACTCCATTAGCTTAGATCTGCATGATTCACTCTTTAAAAAACATGCTTATTTATCTCATGCAGCCCCTCAGTTTATCCTCTGTCTGAAACAAGCCATATCTCACACTCACTGATCACAAATGCAAACAACTTGTATAACTTTATTCTCTGATTTTGGTGAAACTAGATAATATTTTATTGGATAAAATATTTTATGGATTTCCCTGTCCCATGATGTCTGATATCTCTACCTTTGCCATCCTATTAGGTAACTTTGGCAGGACTATGAGCTCAGAGTATCTCTGGTACAGGAGCTATGGACTGCCAGGAGTGCCAGTGCCTTGAGCTCCCAGTTCATTAGCATCAACTAGTGGTTAACCAATAGCTACAAGTAAATGTCAGTAAATCCCAGAGAGTTGAGGCAAAGAAGTCACAGGACTTACTTTTCCTCAAAACTTTCTGCATATGAAATTCGAAGGGTTTGGTCCTGACTCCTGAGCAGAGCAGTCAACTTAGACAGACTGAGTGGGTCCCTGTACATTGTGGGCGAGCTCAGCCCTGCTCCAGAGCAGATAACCATATAAAGAAATCTTTATATGGTTGTTTAGACCTCTTCTGACTTTATTGTATTTCTAAAAGAGGCTAAATGCTGAAAAGTTGGTCTCACCTCGGGCAGTGCCCCTGGTGCACACTCCATCTGGGCCTCTGGGGGCTCAAGTCTCCACGGTGCTATATCCACTGTAGAGTTAC